AAATTGTACACAAATGCTGTGAGAGGAAACATCCACAATGGAATCCAAAGAAGTCAATACAGTGGATAATTTAAAGCTGGAAATTTCAGCTAGGATAAAACTCTCAAAAAAACTCTTTAAAACAGAAAAGCAAAGATGACTGGGGTGAACAAGATGGTGCAAGATGACCTGGGTTGCTAGAGAGATTCTCATCCGAGAGGCTTCACGTTATGTTCCAGCCTGTTGTCTGGGAAGTCTGCTTTAAGTGTAATAGGGTTGAAAAACCTCACCAGTGCTAACTGTGGGCTATGCACTGACACAAACAGAAAAAGCACAAGTTTGAGAAGTTCTCTGCCCAAAGAATCTTCTCTTCCACATTCAGGGATACTTGCCATCCTTCACACCTTATACATGCCATACTGCAAGCTTATCTCCTATGTTTGGGCTGCTTCCTGGATTCACACGCACACCAGCAAACTCAGGAACTGCAAAGCAATTGCAAGTCCAAGCATTTAAAACACTGTCAAATCATAGCCTTTCTGGCCACTGAGAAGCCCTGAACTGTAAGGAACTGCAGTAGTTTGGAAGTGACTAAGCAAACAGATTCTGTCATCCAAGACTTTAAAGCATTATCCATTCTCTGCTATCCATGCGCCTTGCCAGTCCGAAGAACACAAATCATCTTCTACACTAAAATACACAGTCTTTGGCCACACACATGCACAGTTAAAGCCACAAGGACTTTGCCACTTGGATCTCAGACCTGGAATTCATTGTTGCAACACATTCTTAATTCTGGTTTGCATCAAGAGCAGCAGGTCTTAGAGGACTGGATAAATTCCACTACCTTTGTCAGTCACCACAAGGTGTCAGTGAGAAGTAGCAGTACAGATTTAGAAACAGATTTTTGTATTCCTTATTTTTGTTGGCAACATAAATTCAATGCTTGGAGGAGTTAAACGCCTGGATAAGAGGATCCAGAAGTCAGACATTCTTGCTGAGGACAAAACAGTATTTTCAGCTCTGCCAGTTTTCCTGCTTTAGGAGCTTAGGCTTAAGACAGAGACAAATCAGGCATTAATTTAAACAACAATAATTTTAGTGAAAGACTCAGAGGATACAGCTAGTTAATTTTCAGTAGAAGCTAAGGCTGATAAAACTGCTTGAAAATTAGAGATCTTTCACAACTGCCTTGTTGTTCAAGACATTTGAAGACCACCTACTCCTCAAAGATACATTTCTATATCATAGCCAGAAAGGGGTTTGAACACTGCCGTCTGTCAGCATACAGATTTACACTTGACTAAGTTCCTCACTAGTTCTCTTACTTTACCAGTTTCTCTGGTTCACCAAAACCCATCTCTTTAAATGATAAGCAGAAAAGTCAATTTAGCAAGATCTTGCGCAGTTTCACAGGTAAGTTTCCAGTGAAAAAATCTCAGAGATAAATTAAGACCTATCTTGGGTTTTACCAAGGAAAGAAGTAAGTCCTTTGCAGTATCCACTTTCAGAAAACCAGGGCTTCAAATAGGGCATTTCTCATCTACAATAGTCAGCATCCTTAAATGTCATACTGGTTCCAGTTGCAACACAGCTATAACCAGGGTTCAACTTCACTGAGATGGGCCACTAATCATATAGTTTAAAAAACTGTAATTGACAGTGCTTCCACAACAATTATTTGCATTTTTATCTTTCAGCATGATTGCTCTCTGGCTCTGCTTGGTTTGATAGACCACTGGAATTCTTAGCAGCAAAAGAAATATAATGAATGATCTTGATATATAGCAGCAAGTTATCACAACCCTAGATCTCCTGTGCTAACCTGAGCTACAGCTTTACAAAAGACTTTGTGGCACTGTACATCATAGAAGCAACCATATAGGTGTAGGATTTAGGGTACACTTGCTCAGATGTAGTTACAAATTAACTGGATTAGGAGCAATGATATTTGAAGCACAGCTAAGATACACACTGCAGCAACCATAAAACCAAAGATTCAGTACATGTTTTCATTTTGCCAGTATGCATTTAGATAAATTCAGTTGTTGTGCTTTTTCAAATGTATACACAGCTAAAAACACATTAGTTGGCAAATAGAAATAACAGTATCTACACTCTGAGAACAACCAACAGGCAAACTTTTGAAAATAGAAGACCTTACTGATACTAATTTGGTATCTTCAAGCTTCCAGAGACCATCTCATTTTTTACACTCCAGGGGAACTGTGTTTGGCTGTTGACAAACCCTCCCAGGCCCAGTGGAATTTGCAGCACTTCACTAATTCTAAATAGACCAGTTGCTGTACTTCCAAAAGAGGCCAATACATCACCATAACTATTATTATTCAGAGCTCTTTATTTAACAGTCTACCTCCCCTTTGCAGTGCCTTCATACAAGTTGATAGCTTGAAGCTTCTTATAACAGTCTGCTGTGTCGCCCTCTATGCATTTTAAATGGAAAGCAGATTAAAGAAGTGCTTTCTTTTACCTTTAGTAGTTATCATGATGCCCTTTGGAAGTCTAAAACTGAGATCTTTAAAGAGGATAAATGCTCCTGAGCTGTCAGAGGAGGTCTGAACAGACATACAGCAAGGCTGCTGACTACAGCAGTTGAACAACATGCTCTTAGCACTGGTAACTGCTGTGTTCTTTAGCCTCCTTGTCCAAAGGTATAATGAGAAGCTGCTAAGTTAAGTTTCCATACTCCTGAAATACTCAGTCACACAAAAAATGTGAATTTGATTTCTCTTCAGTCCAAGCTAAAAGAGGATTTGGAGTTACTACATTACCTGGTGTCAGGTGGTACTTTCGCTGTTTTCATCATCATCTTTCTGTCATCTGTTTTTACCATCACACATATTATTATAGGTATCTTTTTCCAGAAAGCATTTCAAAAGCTCTTTATATAACTAGATATCTAGTTTGCATAAACAGGTCATTTATGTGAGCTTGCTCCCCCTTTCTTGTATGAAGATCATTAGATTTGCTAATACTAATACAATAACTAATTCAGATCACCAAAAAGTAATACCACCATCTGTATTACAGTCTACATTGGGACACTCTAGGGAAGAAAGTAAGTGTTGATGAAAACATACCCATTCAAAACTCTAATGGTGAGAATCTTTTGTGCGTGTTCATGGAAGTCATTCAATCCACAGTATTCAAGTCATAGCATTTACAAAATGCTATGAAAGACAGCCTATTTGCATAGCTTCCACTTTGGTTTCCTACATTTAATTTGCAGCAGTTTTCACAGTTTGTTATTCCATGACTTAATGGAAAACTACCTGTACCACCTCCTTTTAGATTAGTATACACAGTCAGTAGGCTCTAAATAAATTAAAAACAAGTCATTGATAATGGAAGAGATGAAAGGAATAAAATGAGTTGAATTAATTGCAATCTTTCTACTGCATCACAGAAATGTGCAAATGGGACAATTATTTTAAGGTGCTAGAGTAACATTCAGGAAATGAGAACACCATTCTTGACAATGCTGTGACTTAATGTGGATCCTTGAACAAGTTCATTAATTACTCAGTACCACTACATATAAGGGTTATACTTCCTAAAGTTAGAAAGAAGTTGCAACACAACCAAATGTTCATGATATCTTCAATTTTTGACTTTTCATTGTTTCTATTCACTAATCAATCAGATCATACCAAAAAGTTGTAACAACTAATCATCTCAGCTGATTTCTGAACCAGTGAGACATCTCAGAAGTCTCCTCCCTCTTCACTGTGTCCTTTGGTGAGCAAGAAATTCCTCAAAGCCCTGTGACTATGTGGTACTTACAAGTGGAAACAAAACAACAAATCCAAACTATTGAAATATAGCAGCATCTAATCTGCTATTTCAGGTGTTTGTTCTCCTAAGGCCTTTACTAATTTTATTATCTCATAACTTCAATTAACTCAAAATGAATTCTCAGGCAAAAAGAATGATGCTGCAAGTTACCTAGCACTTGGTCTCTTGGAAAAAAGTTGTCTGTAAACACTCATCTTGACAGAAAGCGGTAGAAAATAACCATAACTTTTCTTAATAGCTCTACTAATTCATGATTTCATATTAGCTTCACATATATTAATAGATTTTGCTGTCCAAGAACAGAATAACCACATTACAAAAAAGTCTGGGCTGCCACCATTTTGCGCAATGTATTTGGAAAATGAGATGTAAGACTTGATACAAACAGCTTTTGTCCTAATCAAATTTAAGTTTTTGCTTTGTTTTGTGGGTTTTTTTTTGTTTGTTTTCCTTCTGCAGTACTGTGGCAGTACATATATGAGCTAAAAGGTCCCCAAAAAAGCACAGAACACAACTTCGAAACCTCCGGTGTTCTCTTGCTTAAGCATATAAAACTGTTCTGTCTGATAGCCAGTAGAATAATTGATTCATTAACCACATAAGATATACTTTAAAGATCTCAGCATCTTCAACTCATTCTAGTAAAACTGAAGAAACACACACACACACACACACACATATATACACACACATCTGAGAAGTTACTCCAGTTTGAAAGTGCTTTACAAGATTCAAAAGTTTGTATCTGGACAGAAAAATCAATATACTTAAAGAAAATCGATACAAGAACATACCTTTTTGAAGTTAGCTTTTATCACTTACAAAAGCAAAAATCAGGTCATTAGAGTATTAACAGAGTAAGTAAAATATTCTAGCCTTGATTATTCAGCTATTGATAATTAAAGGTTTAACATTAAACCCTAAAACAGAAAGTCCTTTTAAAGTTTCACCTTCAGCAAGAATATTTACTAACATTTTCTCTGGAAATATTTCCAACCAATACATCCAAGAAACTGAAACAGGGCTGTAATCCTTTCACCATGTCAGTAAAGCACTATACTATCGTAACAACTAAAAATCCACATTAAACCCAGAGACTACAACAACAACTACTACAACGCCCATCAACAATTAAGTCAGAGGTCTCAAGCTGGTTTGAAAAATAAAACAACTTCAAACTCTTAGGAAATAAGATTTAAACTTACCTGTATGATGCTGCCCAACACAGCCAACAGTATCTCCAGGAGCTTACAAGATAGAACTGCCTTTAAGTTTCATACGCCTGGAAAAGCAGAGGGAATAATGCATCACTGAGTGGACCATGTGGCTCCTGTTTAACTAATTAAAGGAAGAAAAATAAACAAAGAGCAAGCTTCCAGTACTCTTGCCTTTCTGAACATGAGACCACTGGTGTTTTTAGTTACTTCAATTGTCCATCATGAAAGAGTGAAGTAGTAACATAACATCATGTACTTCTATTTCTTTCTCCAACCACCTCTGTGTCCAGCTAGTAGCTTTCTTAGAACAGCAACTTTAGGAAGGCATGAGATCTGTATTTCCAGACCAATTTATTTCTAAATCAAGCCACATTCTCAACATCTCAAAAGAGATGACTGATTTTAATCAGCAGTATACTTTGAACACAGTAACTCTAATGCAATGGAAAGCACAGCAATGATAGCGGAGTAGCAATGTCCTAGGCTGCAGCAAGTGAGGTTCAGCCCAAACACAGCAGCCTTGAACACAGAAACAAAGGAAAAAAGCTGCTTACCCTTAGAAGACTTCAAATAGGCAAGGATCCCCAGCAAAATACCCTTGCCTCCCCTGTCAACCCTTAAATGAGGTCTGGGAAGAGGTGGAGCCAGGATTCCAGTCACTCAGATGCACTGCATGCAGCTGGGCTCCCTTGGGTTGGCCCATGCCTTCCCACCAGGTGCTCAATCACTGTTTCAAGCTGTGACAACATTTCTGCCACAGTTGCCTAATTTCATTTGGGGGAGTGCAGTCATGTCAAATAAGGGAGCTAAACTGAAGGAAGAGTGTGGAACTCTGCCATACTGCCTTAGGTCATAGATGTGATGAATTTTGCAGAATACAAAAACTACAAAATTGTTAAACTATCAGTACTTTAGAAAGCATGAAGTTCTCTCTAAATTACTTCTTTCTCTAGCTATAGGATAACGCCTAACACTGCCCTTATTTCTCCTAAACATTGAGTGCTCTTTTTTGAATTTTATGGCACCCTACTGAATCAGGTTTTTTGAAAAAATCACTGAAAAGGGCAGGCCCACACTCTACTCAGTTCTAGGGCAAATAATGACAGTACTAACATGGGAATGGTTCTGCATCCAAACCTCTCAAAATGTGCTTTCTAGCCTCACCCTCACTGTAAAATCATGAAGCAGCATTAAATAATCCCTTCTCTCAGGCCCAGCTCATGTGCTTCAGGAGCACTGAATTCACTGGAAGTGAGGCCATCTCATGTTTCCTTGCATACCTGGGGTTCATTGCATTACCTCTGTACAAGGCCAAAGTGTTTCTTCAGTGACCGTGTGTCATGGAAGAAATGGCCAAGCCAGCACCTCACAGCCAGGAAGAATGTCTCTGGAGACATTTTCTTTGAACCCAGAGTGAACCTGGCTCTGCCCCTCAGGTGCAAACATAATCACTTGCAAACAAGGACAACTTTGTATTTGCGGTATCCACAGTGCAAGAGAGGATTCTGCCACAGAACGATGGAAGGAGTTGAATGCATTCATTATGTATGGGGAGACTGGGATTTCCCGCATTTTTTGAAAAAGTGAAAAAGCCAAGTACCTTCATTTCAGCTGGGATGCACCAGCAAACACTTCATCCCCCTGACACTGAAACTAGAGCAGCTAGGCCCACACTGCCCTCACCCCAGCCCTACCTGTTATATCCCCCTAGACTCTGAGGGGTGAGAATGCTCCCCCATCTAACTCTGCAGTCTGAAATCCTCAGTGAATTTCACGAGGCCCTCATCTTCTCTGGAACTCTCCTTCTTCACCCTTGTGTCTCAGCTTACAGAAGATGAGGAACTGCAGGAGAGTACATCCCTGGGTCCTGTGTCCCTGCTGCTGTCCCTGCCAGATGGCAGCTAAAGAGCAGTGGTAGCTGGTAGGCAAGCTGGGAGCAAATAGCAGGGCTTCTAAAAATCACAACCTTTATATTACTATTTATTAAATGCGCACCAAGTCTACAATTGTCTGTCACTGAAATTGCCCATACTTGTTGAAAAAGTTCCTATAATAGTCTCCAAATTTCTGTCCATCCAATTTACCACAAACCTGCAGGAGACTTTCCTCCTTTGACACCAATATATACAATATATGAACAGCTTTATTTCTAACTGAAGTCTTGATTCGGTACAATAAACAGAAGTTATGTATTACACAAAGAAACAGTTCTACTGCCTGTTCCCATAGCTCCCAGCTAACTAACTCCCTTTAACAGATGTTTCATGCTGTAAGTCAAGCTTGAGCCTTTGAATATGCATAAACAGTTTATGAAATGAGCAAATTCAATTGCACAGTAAAAACTACTGCTTCTTGGCTACAGCCACTTCTGCAATCAAACCTCTGTATGCAATAGCTGTTTGGGAACTGAAATTGAATCCTGCCCTTACTAAAGTTATCAGTGCCTCCTTTTCCCTCCAGAATTCTACATCTCATTCTGTTTAACACGGAAAAAATTTCAGAAAGTCTCTGAATTCTTCATAGATTAAAAACCTCCTGTGAAAATGAATGAAATCCTTGTTACCTGAATGTTCAAAGCTGGCAACAGACACAGAAATGTATGGTACATGTATTTCATTTTCCAATTAGCATCCTTCTAGTATCGTTTATAGTATTTATTTATAGTAAACTATAGTTTATAGTATCGTTTATGAAGAGAAAAGCATTATTTAATTGAAAGATGAGTCCACCAACATTTATGTAAACATTACATACAGTAAACACATTCCATTATGTATGATATTACACACTTAGAAGTATTACAAATATGCATTCGTGATCCAAATGAAAATAGATCAGCTGTATCCAAGTTAAATTTACTTCTTGCAGAAGTTAGGAGTATCATCTTAACTACATCTGCATTGCATTAAGACAAAACTGCAAATCAGTTGCTGAAAGAAACAGGGCAATCAGATTTAAAGGGTTTCTAGAGGGCAGAATTACCATAAAAACTGAGTTGTAAAATCTTATATTTGACGACTGATAGAATTTATTCTAAAAATAATAAAAATAATAGATCCACTAACAAAATATTCTCTCATTCTTATTTAGGGCTGTAGTAATTCTGCATACAATCAGAAATTTTGGCAAAAGATACTGTCAGCAAAACAAGGAGCTGTTAATGAATTAAAATGTAAAAAGGCTGCATAGAAGAAATATAAATGAGGACAGGTGACAAAGGAGGAATATAAAAGCAGTGCTTGGGTAATTAGGGATGTTATCAGGAAGTAGAGAGCCCAGTGGGAGCTCAACTTGATGAGGAGCATAAAAGGTAAAAAGAAAACAATTTTGTAAGTACACTAATAGCAAACCAAAGTTTAAAGGAAATGTGAAGCTGTTGTTGAGTGGTGGAGACTACCTGCTGGCAGAAGATATAGCAAAGGTTGAAATATCAGATGACTTTTTTTGTCACGATCTTCAAAAAAAGTTCCCAGACTGTTGCATTTATCTGTGCAGTTTGAGAAAGGAGGCCAAGTTAAGGCAGAAGAGTTACAGACTCTTCAGAAAAGAACCTAGGCATATTCACATAAATGGGATCAATAGGATCTGCTCAAGGATGGTGAAAAAAAAAAAAACGGGTGATGTGACTACGAAGACACATCATCCTCAGAAAACTGTGATGATTTAGGGAAGGGTTAGCATTACAATCATCTTTAAGAAGGGTTCAGAGGAGGATCTGAGAAACTAGCTGCTGGACAGCTTTAACTCGATTTCTGAAAAAGCATCTTTACATTTCCAAACAAAGGATAAACAAGAAGGTGATGGGCAAAAGGACTTACGTATAGAAGACCAGGTCTGTAATTATTAATTCAAACTGTCCTTCTATGCTGACATATCTAGCAAGAAAAAAAAAAAAAGACACTCCTCTTTGGCAGCACATTCGTAAGAACATTTTACATGGGTAATGTATTCCGAGGTTCAATCCAGTGCGAAGGCTCAGACTCGTTAGTGCTAACACACAAGACTGTGAAATATGTATCAGCCCCACTCTGCAGCCAAAAAGGGGGACACAGTTTAACACTGCAAGTGTAACCCCCTCTTCTTTGATGCTGAATTAATTCCATGGGTTACTTCATACCAAGCTAGCATCACCAAACCTTTTTGGATCTCCACTTACATTCTATTTTTCACGCATGATTGTGCACTCTTGATAAACTTTCACCAAGAACCCCACTGAATCAGTAGAGCTACATGTGCTATTTGCAGACTATGAGCTGTGGTCTATGAGTCACTGGCATATATCCCAGGTTAAAAAAACAGTAACCACATAGAGGCAAGTTCAAACCTAAAAGGAAATACACATTTTGGGACCTCAGAGGCCATCTCTACGCTGTTTCAACTCCATTTCATCAACCATTGTGGTTCCCAGTCGTTTCCAATAGCAGAGTTTATGTATGCCTTAAAAGCAGATAACCCCAAGTGATTGTCCAAAGGAGAATACAAGGTAGCCACGCATAGGCTTCGTGAAACGTGCTATTTCTGTAATAAGGTATATTAGTCTTTGGCCATTCTCTAGTCAAACATCCCTGAATGTACACAGTTCCAGTGCAAGGCAGTAGATCCATAGCAGAACTCATGCATGCATTTCTTTCCAAGAGGAAAATGGGACACTGTTGCTCATCCCACATGCATTAACTTTCAAGAAAACTCTTGCTACATTTCATGACCAATATATCACACATCTATATATCTCCAGGCAGTCATGGAATAGGATGGAAAGATGCACAGAATGGACATTCTGAGGGTGTTGGTGATGGCCTCTGCTATTTATGCATGCAGTGATTATTTTGCTTCATTTTTGCTGAAAGCAATTCATGGACATTGATTTCATTGTTTATTTTCCACCTCCGTAGTTTTTTCTTTGGACAAAAGCTTGTGTTGTTAGGGACAATATGCTATTTCAAATGAGATTTTACATTAAATTCAGAGCAGAGCAACAACTTAATTAATCTTACCATCTGTTCTGTTCAGGCTCTGTGGCTTTCACGTAACATTTAACTTTTGTACAAACCCAAAATGCTAAAAGTTAAACCGAGCTCAATTTTTTTGTGCTTCACCACTTGATGGGGATAATGAAATTGTTTGCCTCAGATTTGGTAGAAAAGCAGGGTAGGCTCTTGGTCACCATTAATCAACTGCTGCTTTTAACTGCAGATAATAAGAAACGTTGGGAAATGTGATTTTTCACCACAGTACTGTGTGTTGGAAGCAGACATGGGATCACTTATTGCTGTGGAAGCCTCACAGACCCAGGCTCTGAGGCAAGAATCTGTCAGGCAGCGTTTCCACATCCGGTCAACAGCATTTGGCTTTAAGCAGCTTAACTTCAATTTTGGGGTTGAGTTTATTACCTTGTGAGCTATCCCATCCAAGCTGGAGATTAACAGTTCTCTACTTTTTCCATGAAAGGAGGAAAGTAAATCATTGACACTTGCAAAATTGACAAAGGCAATGTCAGGGCAGGTTGCTGCCTTCCTCCCAGCACACTGACATCTCTGTGTGGGTGGCAAGAAGATTGGTTTAGAGGACCAATCAGAAACATTTAGGGCTTTTCGTTTATTAGACACTGGAATCAACATTCCTGTTTTGGATGATGGCTGTTCTTGCTCTGTTTCATTTCAAATTAGATCTATGAAACACTGTTAGTACTCCTGAACCAACAACAGACTTTTACTTTTATAGGTTCCAGCAAAAATGCACATCTTTAGTAAGTAAAATAAAGCTAAAATCCTGTACTGTGAGAAAAAGATATCCCCTACAGCTACAGTAAAGGCAGCAATGCAAAAGAAGAACCATCCAACAGAATCTGAAGAAGTCCTTGTGGCAGGAACAAAGAGGAAGCGATCGTAGGTTACGGCAGAAAACAGCTTGAGTGCAGACTCCGGCAAAATATCTGTCATGGCTCCCATGGTGATACCACAAGAAGTTCTTGCACCACAGCTAAGGTCTTACCCATTTTCCTACGCTACAGAAAGTGAGGAAGAAGGAATATCACCACTGGAGGGCTACAGCTGACCTTACCAAAAACACACACCTAGGCAAAAGTCAGGCAAAAATTTGTAACTTGGAATAGTCCAAATTACACAGCCCCACAGCTCATTTCCATAAGGATTTGCGGGCAAAGTAAATGGACTGAGAATACAGGAACTGAAGAAACAATGAAAAGAAAAAAAGAAAAAAAAATAAACAACAACAACCAGATGTTTCTGCAGCACACAGAGCCTGAAAAGTTGTTCTGATAAAAAGGCAGTGGACTAGAAATAACAGCCAGGTACCACACATTGACTGCCAGTCACAACGCATGTTTCTGTACAACATTCAAACACTGGCAACAAGATCATCAACAGCTGTTCAATTTCTATGAATCCCCATCTGATTTTCATGATCCTGTCAGACCGTTAACCTCACCTGTGCTTCTCAGATAGCAAATTTTTAGGCACATCTCATGAAGACCTTTATATCAAAAACAGATTTTGCATCACTCTAAAATGCACAGAAGTGCTTAACTGAGCAGAGAAAGTAGCATCCAATTGCTTGATGCTTTTATTGTTTGCCTACTGATAGTTTTCAACCTTCAGCTGCCCCGGCATAGCAATTAGACAGATCAGAACGATGGCAAAAGTTGTTTCACCAGAGGTGTAACGATAGAAGGAGCAGCACAATAGAAAGGTGCTATAAAAGAAGGGAAGAAACTTGCTTACCTGTATCAGAAGATTCCAGGTTCACAGGGCAAAGCTCCCCTAAGCCAAGGGGAAACCTCCAGAAAGAAACCCATTCCCTACAGCAGTCAGCCCTTAAATGGAGTCTCAGAGAGGTGCAGCCAGGCTCTGCCCCTTCAGGTCACACAGCTTAATTACCTTCACCTGTGCCCCCAGGCTCCTTTCCCCAGGTGCTCAATCAGTGGTTCAGGCCGTGACTCAACAGTTCCCATACACCAGGCCTCAGCAGCACAGTCAGCAACTCTGTTTTCCTCTCTTATCCAGTAGCATGGTAATTCTCCGGAGCATGAGAGAGAGAAGTAAAAGTCTCCATATGTTCTTCACAAGGAGATTTGACCAACTCCTGATTTCCAACCTGTGTTCAATCAAAACCAAGTATTTAAAGAGATTTTCACTATGCAGTCCAACACACGTGCTGTGAATAGACTGAAAAGATTTGTGTATTCAAAATAGTCCAAGTTACTTACAGTTCTGCCCACAAGTTACAGCATCAATTTTAGGATACACCTCTTTTACATGAAATTTCAGCAATCACTGTAACAGGGACTGTAAACAAGACCTTCCCATGTGTGTTTTACCCATTATTGTTTTTTAAATTCCCTGCACAACAATTTCATGACATTCTCAATATCCCACTGTCCTGTAGGGACACACCAGTGCTGTAAAAACTGCAGCTGAAAAATGCCATTTTTTCCCCACATTTTAGATCAAAATCGAATTGGTTCTCACTACCAGAATTGTCACAGAATTCTCTCATCTGGAAAACAACCAGTGGTTACTGGCATCTCCTGCAGGCATAAATCCTAAAATAGCTGCATCCCCTGTACATTTTGGTTGAATGCTGAAAGGAAATTAAGAGAGCTAAGGCTGAATTTGAAAAACACCTTATAAGAGATACTGAACTCAATAATGAAAAATTCTTCAAGTACAATCAAAGAAGCACAGCTTCCAGAGTATCAGTGGGGCTGCTCGTTGGTAGAGTAATATACAGGACACTGCATGTGGCAGGGGGGTTGGAGATTCATGATCCTTGAGGTCCCTTCCAACCCTGGCCGTTCCGTGATTCTGTGATTCTGTGAAAAGGAGAAAATTCTTTACTTATGAAGGTGGCAAAGCACTCGCACAGGATGCCCAGAAAAGCTGAAGATGCTCCACTCCTCCAAGGGCTCAAGGCCAGGCTGGATGGGGCTTTGGACAACATCGTTTAGTGGAAGTTATCAGAAGACTGGCAGACTGTTTCCCACATCATACCCACAGAAAGGGTTGTATGAAGCAGGCTTGTAAGAAGGAAAATTCTGTCTCAGTAACCAGTATTTGTAAGGAGTCAGTCAATAAGCAGGAGAGTAGAGGAAAAAAATACATCAGACTCCAGGATTTTTAAAAAGTCTTCAGCAGTGTAAAATATCTAAAATGAAAGAAGGGTGTGAGTTGCAAGGGCAGTGGATAGAAGAACCCACTGTAGACTAAAAGATGGTTAAAGGGCAGGAAGGAAGCATGGAACTTACTAGACACGTAACAAACAAAAATCTGTTATCATGACATGATGGTGAAGTGGTTCATTAGTGAAATTATATTTAACTGCCAAATAAATCAGACATACCTAGTGACAGACTTTTTTTAAAAACTTATTTCTTAGCTAAAACAAGAAGAGGGCTTCTGAATCTTTATCTCAAATTGCAAGTAATGTGGGCAGATCAATATAACGAGAAGTTAAATAAGTTTTATACCAATAATAATTGGCATCAAAGATGAGGTTATTCTCATTTTTATCATTATTAGCTTTATTTCCACAATTCACTTCAAGCACAAACAGAAAATCAGCACAATAAACACAAAAAGTGAAAGAAAACGTTTTATTTGTACTGAGGCAAAAGGAGCACATCTCAGTTTGATAAAAGGAGAGCAAATGTTTTTGAGAATTTGCAGAAAAAAATAAAAAAAACCTCATTCTTATCACACCAATACAGGATTGAATTTCCTATGTCAAAACTCTCTTCCTCTCGACTTGGCACCATTTTTATTGCCCAGTACACTATTGCATGTCTTCAATTGCCAAAACATCATGTTATCTATGTAAACATCTGTTTTATGTGTAAACTTCAGAAAGTAAATGGAAAAACCTACTAATTTATTTCCTAAGCCACCCAAAAATTAAGTGTTAACTAAATATCAAATTAATTACAGCATATTCTCTGTAACACTGTTTCAATAAGAACTACAGCCTATTGAATTCCTAACAGAAAGGGTATGGAAAAAGCTGATGTGCAGAGTCATGTATAAGTGTAATAACATGATAAGGCAATAATAAGAAAGGTAATATACTTCTTTTTTCTAAAGCATACATGCCAAGACAAAACTCAAGGCTGCACCCTGCCAGTTGATTTTTGTAGTGTAGGATTTCTTTTCAACACAAGCTTTGTGCAATATCAGATATATATATATTTTTAAACCTTTTCAATCCAAATTCTTTACATGAAAAGTAAGAAAAACTCTGTTCCCAAAGAATCAGCTATAGTAAATGCAAACAGGAACTACCTAAAGTTAAATATTTCTAAAAAAAAAAAAAAACAAAAACCAACACGTGAATAAGATCACTGCAGAGAAGTTCCACAACCTAAGTCAAAAGATTGTGCTAATACTACTTTTGTAACCTTTTTGTTGCTTCTTTGTTCACTTTATGCTCGATTTCAGTAAGTAGTAGTAGATGTATGGCAGTCTGGAAAACACGACATCACCAAAGATTTCCTTTATTGTTCAATGTGGCTTTGTAGTGCGCAGCATAATCAACCTCAACCACTCAAAAAGGAAAGAGAAAACATTTCAAAGTTGTTGAAAACAATCTAAAAGTAAGTATAGTACGGCAGTAATCAAAATGACTGTTCTCTTTCCTCTAATTATAACTTAATTTAATCTACTACTTGTCATTTTTACAAACTGCAGTTCACATTAAAACATTTTTTATAACAAAAGCTTTTCTTTGAAAACAACACTGCTTTACATCTGGTCAGGCAGCTTGTGCATATCAGAGCATTCTGTCTAGAGAGCCACAGAAAAGGCAAAGGAGGAAAAGCTGAAATACAGCTACAGCATATCTGTGCCTATAATGTACTGCAGAATCTCAGGCAGCACTAGAGACAGCAAGTTTCTTCAGATGATCCATAAATACTTGCAAGCTGACATCATCAGTAAGAATGGGTGCCCCAGATTCCTATAAAAGAAAACATAGAGAATAGATTAGTTATTGTGAAGAAAAAGCATTTTAAGGTACATATGCTCCATCAACAAACACCTCTCTACACTGAAGTTTAGAAAGATCTTAAAAACATATAATTGCTGACATTTTCTGACAAAAAAAAAACCCCACCAAACCCACAGTCTATACATTTTCATACATTTACATAAATTCGGGCAGAAATCACAACCAGGACATGAGGAAACAGCCTCAAGTTGCTGCAGGGGATGTTTAGATTAAATATCAGGAAGACTTTCTTCATGGGAAGGATGGTTAGACACTGGAACAGGGTGGTGGAACAGCTGTCCCTGGACGTGTTTAGGAGACATGTGGACACTGCTTATGGACAAAGTTTCGTAATGGATTTGGTAGTGTGGAAGTGACCTGATCTTAAGGGTTTTTTCAAAACTAATATGATTTTACTTTGTGATTCTATGACTCTTTCCCAGGGTGGACGCATGAGTTGAAGTGCAGCAAGATATTTACATCAAACATAAAAAACTCAGTGTTTTTGACAGATACCAAACTCTAATTTTCAAAATTTTAAGTGAAAACTTCCACGTCACAATTTCAGTACCATTCCTATCTCAGTGAAGCAAAGGTGACAAGCAGAAATGTGCAAGCACCACAACTAGTAAATCAGTATCAGTCACTGCTGAAGCTGAGATGCATCAAAACGGAGAAAGGAAGAAAAAAAAGCCACTGAGGATCTGATCAAAGTGAGGGTCAGTTAGCTTTTCCAAAGTGAGCTGGACCTACAGCCCTGGGCTACCTCAAGAGAACCACAAAAGTATCAGAAGCTAGCACTACATCTGATTACAGATAATGAAATCTATGCTCTTTTCAAGGTAGTAAGCACCCACAATTCCAAATGGCATCAGAATCATCTGAACTTTTAGTAAATCTTTCAAAACAAAGACAGAAAAGTTCTAAAGAGGATGCTTAGACCTGGTGCTCCTTACTTAGAACTGGCCAAAACCACTCCTCAGTTAATGACCAAGGCACAAATCCAGGAGCAGTAAGACTTTTTACATTACATTACACTTGATATACACACAGCAACTGTCAGGGAAGACAGTTTTTTGGTTTTTTTTAAATCTTTTAACTTCTGGAGCCAGGGTAAGAATAAAGACATCGTTTTTCCATATTGGTCAAAAGCTAAGCTTTTTTTGTTTAAGGAGCCACAAGGGAATAACGAGCAATTTAGTTCTGTTGCAGAATATTATTTGCCACCTTGTGTCTTATGTATGGAACAGAATTCATCATCCTCCAGAAGAAAGAAAGGAATGGAGTTGTCAGAAATCTAAGAGGAGTTTCCCCACAGTGATTGCTGGTGGTAATCCATGATACTTAAAACCAAAGCACAAACTTTTCCTTCAGCTTAACACAATACAATTAAACCACCGAGGACACACTGCACAACATACAAATCTGAAAAGCAGATGAAACTTAGCTCTGATTTTGCACAAAATATCTTAAATTTCGTTTTCTGTTCATTCAAGATGTTCAGCTAAGGAATACGGTGAGGACTGGGCATCTGGTAAGATTTATGCCACTGATGTCGTCCACTTCAAATTGCACAAAAGTTACCAACAAGATTATTTATAAATAAATAAATAAATAAATAAATAAATAAAGGCATCCTAAAGTAAATGCCATATCCAATATAGTCCGAAAATTTGAACTGCATCTTAAAAGAGTTATCAATATGCACTTTCAGAGCCAATAGAATTGAGCTGTATGAAATTAGTTTACCATTATCTTCAGAAAATGTTTTACATACCAAATCAGGTAC